ACCTTCTGTAGAAAATTCAAATATCCATTCCCAGTTAAATTGTTTTCGAAAAAATGAGGACCCACAACATAATCTATTATGCCACACCACACATTAACTGATATCACTTGTTGGAAGTGACTTTGTCTTATCCACCGTGGATTTTCTAATGAGTAGTAGCGACAGTTATGGCGGTTAACTGCTCCGTTATTACAAAATTTTGCCTCATCGCTACACAATACACATTTCAAAAAAATTTCAGGCCTCGTAAAATTACGTGAAACAACCTGTATGTATCAAGACCAATCAAACAGTCACTAGCCTTGAGAGCTGTTTAATCTTCATTAAACAGAACTATGGGCTAATTTCTTATGGAGTTCATTGAATCCAAGTCAGTCACCTCACTTCCCTGTCTAGTGACGATTCTGTCAAATTGTGCAATAAATGTTACCGAAAGGAAGTGAGGAAAGCCAGAAAATAGCTTATAGTTCATCAGCACTAATTGTTGCTGCTCAGCGACAAACCAATTGTACCAGCGCCACACAAACGGTGGAATTGTGCAATGTAGATTAGAGTGTAATTAAAAGTAGTAATAAGCAAACTGTTTGAGAATCACATTAGGTTAAGAATTGTAGAATTAATATTTTTATAATAAATTCAGTATTGATCGAACCGCCGATTGATTAGTACTCCTCCATCCCTTTACAAGAGCATTTTTATATGAGATGATTACATCTACCTGTAAGATAACTTGGAGTTTTTTTTTTATTTTTTTAGTTGGAAAATATTTCATAAGTTTACACCCATTTTTTCTCATGGAAAATGTGTCTATTTTATTTAGTAATCTAGGGAACAAATTGCTCAGGTTCAATGTCTTAAGAAAGTCCTGATACACGTATACGAGGAAGGGGACATTTAGGTAATATTACGAATCTCGTAATTTTCGGATAAATTTTTGTCGGATGCAAGTTTTTGAAGTTCCTTAAAATCTTGACATTCAAGCAAGAAATCACCATTTTTTATAGGTTTTACTTTCGAAATTTCAATTTGACTATTTAGCGGATTTACGATAGTTATAAAGTCAGACTTCGTGTGGGCATTAGATTGATTAATGTTTTTTGGTTTAATTAATACTTCGCTTGAGTGTTTCAGCAAAAGTACTTCTGGAATGTGTTAGTTATGATACGAGAAAGCAAAGCATCAGGTTGTTGGGACAATTTTGTATTTAAAATTGATATTTCCTCACGTAACAAACGATTTTCGTCTTTTAATTCCTTGAGTTCAGTTCGCATATTTTCACAGAGGTTGGCAATAGATTAAGAGAATTCAGTGAGTATGTTACGAATTATGTCAGGAAGCTGAACAAAATCTGTGACAGATATATTAGATAAGACCGTCTGGTGATGCATAATTATTGCGAAGTCCACAACTCTAGAATCTTTGAGATCATTGAAGGCGTTTTTGTTAAGCCCAACACACGAGATGTGATAATTGGCACTGCAATTTTTTCTGCAAGTTAAGTAATCATCAAATCTGCCAATTGATTTACCACATGTGCATTTGATAGCCATTATTGAACAACAGGTGCACTACCGATGCAGGCACAAGAAATCGTATCTAAGATACTTACTGATAAGTCTGAGCGAGAAAAGGTCAAGCAAGATAAGTAAATAAAAAAACCCTCAACTTGAAAGAAACCGCTTGAAATCACGTAGAATCCACTATCTAAACAAAATTTTACTCACCGACCCCCTAAGGGGTCATTCTGGAAGAATTTTCAGACGTGGAAATATCCAACGAAAGATTAGAGCTGTCTGACGTCTGACACGAGACCATCACGAGACTAATTTCAGTACTGAATTTAGTACTGAAATTGCGCGCTCAATTTTAGTTAGCTTGGACGCAAGAAAATAGAGCCTATTCTAATTTCTTGGATGAAAGCTTGCTAAAACTGCGTACTAAAAATGCGCGTTAACAAAAAGCGTAAATTTAAAATATTCGAATGTAAAAACAGAAATATTATAACTAAGACGCTTTACGAGCTTTTGTCTAAAACTAGAAAAAATGTTCAAGGGTATTTTTTTGAAATTGTGTTTATGCTACCACACCCTGTTATCAAAAGAAACGTAATAAATCCCCCACAATATTATAAATTTTAAAAATCAACAATTTATTGCAGAAAATCTGTTATTATTTGTTATTGTTTTCAAATCAATAGTTTATCTTCAAAATGCATTTTCTATTAATTATTTACTTTAATATCTAATTTTTAATTTAATGAACCGATTTTGTAAAATAAAGAGTAATATTGCAGAATTTGTCAACTAAAATATGAAGAATGTAACAAAGAATAAATACATACAGGGTGTTTACAGTCTAGGAGTTGAAAATTGACCTATAGTAATAGAAGAGTACAGAAATACTGTAACCGAGAAAAAAACTCACACAATAGTTATTATTAAGAATGCTATTAACCTCCAAAATATTGGTGCACGGTTTGAGGGTCACTGGAATTATTTCCTTGTCCAGATAATATTGTATTGTTGCAACAGATAAAAAAATCGTATCCATGACAATGAAAGAGAAAAGTCACTTCATAGTTTTGACACTGCCATCATTTGATCTGCTTTTGCTTTAGTTTTWATCAAAATTCGAAGATTTTMTGTTTAATYTCTTCCAGCAAAATGGTTTCCAACAGGTTTGATTCGTTTTTCTTATTTTTTTTCCAAATTTATGAATATGTATGACAAATATTAAAATAATAAATTGGTTGTCGTGATTATGATTTACGGTGAAACACAAGGTAATGATACTAATGGTCATTGTTGCAGCCGAAGCAGCAGTTCTCAAACAAATAGTATAAAATGAATTATAACGCATATAACATGAATTTTTGTTTTAGATAGCGTATTAGTTTTCTTCTACCGTTAATATCATCTCATTTAAATTTCAACCCCAAGACCGTAAACACCCTGTATAACTAAATATCACAAATTTTAAAGTAATGCTAAATCAATAAGTGATGAATTAATTAACGTCCCTCAACATTTTTTAAATCGTTTCCTCAATTGAATGGAATTTCAGATACATGTTACATAACAGAATTCCAAAATATTTATTTTTATAAAACTAACTAATGTAGTTTTTTTTATACCAGACATTAAACTGGAATTCCATTTAGCCTATTTCAACGTTCAAAAACGGTTGGAGATAAAAATCTCTTGAACATTCTCTTCAAGAAAATTTTATTCTCTACAACCCCTTGATTGTATTTGTAGTAAATCTAACGTTTTTCGATCTTTTTAATTAATGAGAATTATTCGCAAATGTTAAACTTGGCTTTAAATTTTATATAACTCATTTAAGAATACTTTCAGATGAAATATCTGTAATATTTTTTCAGGATTGTAGGGAATTGAATGTCCCAGTATATTATTGTCCGTGCTTAAAATTGACAACTGAAAGTCCTTTCGGTCTTTAGCAAGATCAATGCGTATGTTCATAAACTTATTTCAGTACTTACGTGTCATACAGAACTTCTACTATCTTCAACTAATTTCGATACTAAATTTGCGGGCGCAGTTTCAGTACTAAATTCAGTACTGAAATTAATCTCGTGTCAGACAGCTCTTTAGAGACAAACTAAAAGACACATAAGAAGGTTGCGTCGTAACTTTGCACCAATCAAGTGTGCGCATTATTCGCGCAAATTGACATCATTGGAGTATTCGTTCAAAAATAGGATATACAATCAAACATATTATTAAGTTAAAAAACTAGAATTTCGTAAAATAAATACCGATAAAATATTATTTATTCATTTTTTCTTTGATTTGTTTATCAGAAATTTTCTCGATAACTATTTATCGCATTGATAGAAAATTAAATTTTCTTTCCAATGGTACAGTTGGAGACAAAATTTTTTGGTCGTCACTTTTTTGACACTTTAATGTAATTCAAGCTTTAATGAATGACAATTTCAAATTAATGACAGCTATTATATCTTTCTATCAAAAATTGTACAACTTGTCAACAATGATTGACCGTAGCTAAAAATAAGGTAAACAGTCCTAAAGCATGCTTTAGAATTTAATGTCACTCAAGTGACATTGACGACCAAAGTTGTTTGTCTCCAACTGTACCAAACATAAGCGGTTATCACCAAGAAGTCCGAAGTTATTATAAATAGACCGCTCCGGGTGCCAAAAATCGACCAAAATCTCGATAAAAATCAAAAAATTTTTAACTTTAAAATTGATCCATATAACGTTTTTTACATTTCTAGTGATCTTAAAGACTCAAAAAGTGCACAAAACGTTATTGGGTCAAGTTTAAAAACTTACGAATTTTTTGAGTTTAAAAACGCTTGAAATATGGTTTACACGTAAAATTACGTCTGAACACGATGCAGTAGGTTAAACTACTCTGCAATGCATAGTTTTTGCGATATTGAATAATAAAGTTAAGAATAAGGCTAGAAGCATACAAGATCTATAAAGGAAAATGTGGTAAATAATGCAAGATACAACACAATAATAATAACACAAATCTGAAATCTGACATAAGGTGATCAACTTCAGACAATTCAAAATCAAAATTGACGACAAAAAGAAGACTTTAACTTGAAAGATACTTTGTTTTCGCAGCAAATGGAAATCTCAAAAAATTGCACACTTAGATGTGTTGATCCTTAAACCGAGACAAATCAGGACATAAATATAAAACAGGACAAGACAATAAAAACCTAAACATGTCCTGACTAAATCAGGACATTGGTCCCCTTAATCTGGCAGTCTGCAACCTGCGGCTGATTGAGCACTCCTCTGACGTCGCCATATAGCCATCTTACTCGCTCTTTAGTGTCTCTCACTCCAAGTTACCAAGCAACCTTCTTGGTTCTTGTGCCTTCTTCCTCTTATTCTATGCCTTCTTACTTTATAATCTATAAATCTTGAATAGACATAAATATTCGCAAATAAGTGAGGTTATGTAAATTGTCAAATGAGTCAAGAAAAGGCACGTTAAATTCAAAATTATATAATTTATTTATTAAAATATTTCGTATTAACTTAGTTTATGAAAGAAAAATAATAATAATAAAATTTAGACATTAACGAGATCAAGAACCGGTTTGGATCCAAGTGGAGGACGAATCCACACTCCTAATGGGTACATCCGTGGAATAACTAACTAAAAGTAATTGATGTCCTTGATACCTAAATAAAACAAAAACGAAACCAACCAAATCAATTAAAAGAAAATAAATTAACTAATCATAACGTACAAGGTGCCACCGTCTCTAACGGTTTCCAACTGGTCATGATCGTAACTTAAAATCTGTCCCGCAGGGGCATTTTCCGCTTCTTCCACATTCACATTCAACTCGTAAACATCATCCGATAAATTGCTCCCAGTTTCCGATTTTATAACTTTATCGTTATTTTGCGATGCGTTATATCTCATAGGTTTTCCCAAAATCGAGCGTTTCGAGTGGGTTTTCTGGTGACGTTTCATGTCGGACCGTACCCTAAACGGCTTTCCACAAATCCCACACTCGTGTGGCTTCTCTCCTATCAAAACAAACCAATCAAAACGCTCCAAATGCCACAATCCCAAACCTGTATGAATCCTCCTGTGGTTTTGCAAATACGACGACGCCCTAAACGTTTTACCACAAAACTCGCACTTGTAGTTCTTCTCACCGGTGTGAATCCTCCGATGGACAATAAGAGAGTATTTCCGGGCAAAGTCTTTACCGCAATATTCGCACTGGAACTGCTTTTCGTTGGAGTGTAGTGACGTCATGTGATATTTCAAGTCGCCCCATTGGCGGAAATTTTTCCCACAATCCTGGCAATGGTACGGTTTATCGCCTAGAAAATACGAAACCATAATCTCCGATCAAAGTCAGCGGTAGTTACCTGAATGTAGGCGCAAGTGCACTTTAAGTGCACTCGAGGCGAAAAAGCTTTTCCCGCATTGGTCACACTGATGGGGGCGTACACCACTATGACTCCTCATATGGTAAACCAAGGAATTGCGATGGGTAAAAACCCGGTCGCACTCACGACAATGCATACTCCCTTTCTTTTTGTTTTTTCGTTTGACGAGAGATGGCGCTGTGGGTTCTACAACAGTGAAGTTAGCTACGATTCTAAAACAAGCCTAGTAAGACCTGTATTTCCAGTATCAGCTCTACAAGTCACTAAATGTTGCAACAAAATCGCTCTAAGTGGAAACGGTTGCTTGCAAATGTGACAAACGTGCTCTTCCGCTTCTAACTCTTTAAGGTCTTCTTCAGTTTGATGAAGCTCATCCTCTCTATACCTAAAATCAATCGTTATTCCCCCTGGTTTAGTGATATTTGAGACGCGAACCAAGCCTTCGTGTCGTTATCCGAGTTGGTTTCGTGGTCCACCACCACGTTGATTCCTTCCATCAGATCTTCCGTTTCGCTAAATTCGTTCAGTTCGTCTTTGTGGTGCACCTCTTTCATGTGCGTCTCGAAGGCTTTTTGCCGCCGGAATGTCTTATTGCACTGGATACAGGTCAGGTTGAGAAGAGTGGAAAAAATGTTGTCTTTTTCTGCATCAACTTCGGCTTTTTCGATCGGAGTTGACTGCGGCTCATAGTGAGACTTCAAGTGTTCAAAAAAACGGAGCTGGTCGTGGAAATTGGCGTTACAGATTTGACAAGAAAAGGCCGTGTTGTGGACCGGTGTGATTGTAGTTTGGCATAGAATCTCGTGTTGAGCAAAATCATCGTTTGAAGTGAACGTCTGTTCGCACAGATTGCACTGTATTTTCGTGGAGTTTTGTTTCTTTAGTTTGCGAGAGATTCGTTTCTTGTGGGGAAGACTTTTGCGGGACGTGCGGTGGTCCCCATCTGAGCCGCGTTTCTCATCTTCCGATTTCTCAGAATTGTTGGCGAAACTAACAAATCGGTTATTTACGATTTTGGCTTGTTTCTCAACGTAGATATTATCAGAGCCTACTATTTGCAGATAACCGTTACTAATCGACGCTTCCTTATCACTCAAAATCAATTGTTGCTCTTCTAAAATCTTACTATCTACAAATACACAAATTAAATTCGTTTTGACTTTTGAAAAATCGCACCTAGCCCCGCATTTGGTACGAGCGAGGGAAGCCCCGTTTCGTGCAACTGCTGCTGTTTCTGGTGTTGGCTCAGTTGCACGGCCACCAGCGCCGCCGCCAAATTCCTGTCCTCTTCTGTTAAATCCTGCGACAAAAGAGCCTCCGAGGGGTAACTGACTGGTATAAAATCGGTCCCGGCAAGATCCACAACTAAGCCGTTATGGTGCTGAAGCAATTCCGTCCCTAACAATTGCGAATTTTCGGGCATTCTTTGCAACACATATTGCGGGGTCGGTACATCACTTATCACGACATTATCCAATAGTTCCGAACTCGTTTCAGAGTTCTCCATCGTTCTGAAATTTGAATTGGTTTAATTCGCGCCATACCGGAAATCAAGGTTGACACGACGTTTCAAGGTTGACGATTTCCACTCAGACAAATCGAATTTATTGCTAAAAAAGCAGCTACCATACCTTCAGTTTTTATTGATATTGCACGTGTGGACGTTTTAGTGCGGTAATAACACCATATTTTTGATTATTGGGGCTTTTATTACACTTAAATCACATCGACACAACGAAAACTGACAACAGTGGGACATAAAACGGAAGTGCACTTGCGCCATCGATGCAACATGGCGGACAATTTTTTTTTCAGTTTGGGCTCGAATTATTTTTTTGTGTCTTAATTAAGTCGAAAGGAGTCCTTAGCTACTAGTCTGGTTATAGAAATTTATTATTTCAAATTATTTTTTATTATTCGGGTTATGAAAGTAGTCTTTATTTTGACTTGTTAATAATGGAGGTTATGTTTTTGTGACATTTACTTGAAAAATGATGATTTAATTAATTACAGGTTGTTTTATTGAGATAATATCGTATTATACATGGTAGGACGGTGCACAAACATATCTAGTAAAATTTGTTACGAATTGAACGAAATATCATAAAGACTGAAACGATAGAAGGCACTTACGGGGATGCGTGTAAAATAAAACTTGACTATTTAGATAACTCAATAAATAAATACATTATATTAAAAACAATTAGGTACGTTAAATATAACGGAATACGTAACCACCGCATGCGGTCCATACGAAATATTTAAAAAATTAAATAAAACAAATGTTAGGAACTCCACTAACAAATAAGCTAGTTACTTCACTTTTAAAGCTACCGCATAATATCATATACAGTTTTGCACGTTACACGGGCTTTGTTTCCGTCAAGTTGACGAGTTTATGCACAAATAAAAAAATAGCAAACCAGTCAAAACACTACAGAAACAAAAAATTCCTAATCACAATAATTTTTACATGGTCCTTAGTTGGTCAAATTTATGAGGTAAAGACAATGTCGACATCAGTCTAACATCAAATTTGCCAAGCGATTAATTTCTTATAAAACCCCACTCTTTGGTATTACAATATAAAATTACTGTATAAAATAATAATGAGTATAAAATACGTCCGCACACCTCACGGAATTTTACAAATCGGATTTGTACTTATTGGCAAGAAATACAATTTAGGTGTTTGTCCTCTTGCGTCAATAAAATTAAAAAAAACTCAATTAGGGCCTTTACTATGCTAAAATCACTAAGTGAGAAGTTGATTATCACAGTTATTTCGAAAATCTGTTCTCCAATCGGCTGGAAAAGGAAACCTTCTTTGGTAACGCAGCGATTCGACAAAATTGACAATTTCTCTCCTTACACTACTCTTTGGTAAGACTAAAAATCCCAAATCGGCCGACAAACACCTATTTCTGGCGCGCTTTAAGGCTACACTTGGTCACTCTTAGCTAAAAGCAGCTATGGAATGCAATTTGCAGGCACAAATAAAATAATTAAGCTTCAATCTCATCATCGGTCTTCTTCCTCTCCAACAAATACACGTTCATGTTATCTTTACCCTTGACGTAGACGGAGCCCCTCGGCCGAAAAACGTATTTCGCTTCGAGGACTTGGAGACAGTTCTCCCCGATTTGAATATGACCGTTGACCCCTGTCGAGTCCATCCGAGAGGCGATATTCACCGCATCGCCCCATATATCATAGTACAGTTTCGTATTGCCGATAACCGCCGCGGTTACCTCACCAAAGTTATAACCAATCCGGAGGATCAAATTAAACTCGAGCAAATCTCGGTTAAAATCGGTTATAACGTTTTGCATTTCTAACGCAAAATCCATGAGGGCATAGAGATGCTCATTGGGGTCTTTCTGGTTGCGTCTAGTGGTCGAGTTGAGACCACTCGCCGCCATGAAAGTGCTACCAATCGTTTTTATTTTTTCAACACTTGCAAATTCGGGACGATCGAGCAACTCGTCAAAATCCGCAATCAATTCATTCAAAACCCTCAAATATTCTTTCCCTCCCAAGTAACTCTCGTCGTACATTTCATTAAAATTGACAATACTCGCGAAAATAATTCCCACATCTTTGAAATTCTCCGAATATTTCGCGTTCTTTTTCAACTGTTCGGCCACGTGTTCAGGTACGATGTTGTAAATGAGATAATCGGCTTGCGTCTTGAGATTCTGTACGTTGATTTTGTCCCGGTTGGAGACGTAGTTGGCGTGGAAACTTAACCGGTAACCGATTTCGAACTCCCGGTTAAGTAACCAAACCAACACTAACAAGAGGAACAAGTCCATTAAAATTTCCGATTTGTACAGGAAACTGTAATGTTTGAGACTACCTCCCGACTTTAACACCGTTCGGTTATGATCGTCTAAAATCGCAACGATCGGATTGAGTTCGGTACGTTCCGACTTTTCGACGAAAAAATTCGAACAGGTGCCGTTCAAAAACAAAGGAATAAATATAACAGTGAACATCACAGCGAGACAATTTTTCATCCAGCAATTCAGCTGTGTGAAATTACAGAAATGTATGACTCCAACAAAGAGGAGATAAGTGTATAAATAATTCGAAGTTTCCGATGTTGTGAATACTTTCGTACAAAAATTTGTCAAAACCGTCACGAGTGGTAGACTTACTAAAACGCCACCGAACATATTCCATCTGTAAAATCTCGAAACGCATCTAAGACACCTATCCGAACATTCGACGACTTTTCTCGAACACAACGCCCAACCACAGGCTTGAATTCCGACAAAAACGCCGGTTAAAACCAACCACAAGATGGTATGCCCGTACAAGAGCCACAACGAAATCGAAACAATCGCAAAAACCAAACTCGAGACACACACATCAAAGTAGGTATTAAATTTCGAATCGGCAAGTGTTAAAATCGACTCAGATTGTTCAAACAACGAATGAGCGTTCGTCCTGTAATCCTGCTCCATTTGTTTGTCCTTGAAAAACAACGTCAACCTCCGCAACGGCGGCTTAATAAAATAGGAACCTCTCGACTTGGAGTTTTCTTGTACGCACTTGATTAATTGACGATCTGATTGTTTTCGCACGTTTTGAATACATGTACCAAACTTGTCCTTGAACATGCCCGGCATTCGGACATTGTATTGGGGCGACGTCACCGTACTCTGACTCGACGTATAATATCCTGAAACTCTATGTTGCAACATGTCCGAATTCGGGAGTGTCGTTTGTTCCAGCTGAAAATCATGTTTAGTCTGCGGTTCGCACTGTCACACACCCACCTGTTGAATGCTACTCCTGCGACTGTTGCTTTTAATTCCCGAATCTTTGCGACTATAGACCGAGAAATGATCGTCTAGGACGGAGATATTTGTGAGTCTTCCGGGGACTTCGAGCGACATTTTCGGCCGTTCGAGATTACCAACACACACGGTTGTACTCCTTTGTCGTTCACCGGGGAAAACGTCGAAATTCGGAGAGCGACCGCGACGAGATCGGTTACTTCCGGCACGTTGCAGGAATGAGAATTCGTTGGGGGATCTCCCGTATTGCGAACGATAACTTCCCGTCCTCATGAATTGATTCAAGTCACCTGGGGAGTAGTCGTATTGGCCGATGTCGCTCCGTGATTGGCTGATGTACGATTTGACATCGATTGTATCTTTCGGATCGTCGAGGAAAATACTACTCCTCTTATCATCAACGTCCGTTACGCTGATAAACGAATCTTTTTTCTTCCCATTCGAAACATTCGACGTTTCGATTATGGTCGGGACTTGTTGGTAACCGCCCGATATTCGGTCTTCTGAATTGGCAGGAACTTCAATATCTAATTCGGGTTTTCCCTCATTCTTACGAAGAAATTTCGGCATCTTCCAGTTTTTCAATTTGACGCTGTATTTCCCCGAACTTGCTGTCGACGTTGGCGTTTTTATATTATCACAGTCGGATGTTTCTTTACAAACGTCGCCGTCTTGCTCATTTTCCGAATCTAAGATACTTGGTAAACTACTCGCTTTGATTTTACAAACATCAGGCGATAACATATTCGGATTGTGCGTTGCTTTTATGTGGGTGGTGTCACAAGACAGTACTCTAGGGCGGGATTGTGGCGACATGGAAGGCGACGAAGTTGGCGGCGAAACGAATAATTGCAACGAATTTGTGTACTTTTGACGACCCTCTGCACGAAAACTCCCACTATACGACGGCGTCTTGTCTCCGGTGCGCCCCAAAATAAAATACGTTTTCATTCCTGAAACATCAATTATGTCCAACACTGTACTCAGTATGACTTTTCGACAGTAGTGAAAAATATAAAAAAAGTTGTTATATTATACAAAAAAATTATCCAAAGATACTTATGCGTTTAAACCTTGTTTATTAAAAATAGTTAATTTTTCAGTTAAAATACAATTGAATTTTTTGGCAAAACGCATCCAAATACCAACCGGTGTTGCCAGGCCTGGTGGAAATTCACCAAATCTGGTGATTTAGGAAAAACTCTTGTAATGAAAATTCCAATATCTGGTGATTTTTTTAGTTAAACAGAAGCTTAATTATTTCGCGAAATTTTCTAAGAAAAAATCTAAAAACCACCAAATTGGTAAAAAAATTCTACTTATTTGTTTTTACGAATTTTTAATTTTTTTTTTTTAACAGGGTCTTAAATAACAATTTACTCTTGCCTTTTTTGAATGCTCTAGTTAGGTACATCTTTGAACCATAAACAGTTATTTTACAAAATTTCGTTAAAAACAAGCCAAAAATTTAACAAAAAGGGAAAAAAATAGTTTAAACAAGCAAAAAATTTCAAAATTAAATAGAAATTGATATTATTTTCAGCTTATTGTTTCGCTCGACATTGTTTTTGAACCATTTATTTTGCAAAATCTTGTCCAAACACGACTAAAAATAACAAAAAATTATATTGATTTAATTGTTTTTTAAAAAATAAGCCGAGAAATCACAAAATTAGATCCAAAATCCTTTTAAGCTCGTTTTTGTACTAAAATCTCACGTTTCACGCGAAGTTTCTCTAAAAAATCAACAGTTAAGTAAACTTTTTTACTATTTTTGCATTTTTCGAAAATTTTAGCACGATTTTGGTAAAAATAGGTGTAAATTTGGACTTTTTCAATTCGGATAGGATGAGTTTTATTGTTTTAAGGTGAAGGATATCAATCGATGTTTCTTACCTAAAACCGGCTCCCCCTCTTCCAGCAGGTAAGTGTCGTGGAGGAACTCGCAGGTCTTTTCCGAGACATGCACCATTCCGGGCTTTCCAGTGGACTCCATACGGTTGGCAAGCGTGACATCGTTGCTCCAGACGTCGAATTTAAACCTGCGAGTCCCCACAATCCCGCATAAGACTGTCCCCGTGTGCACCCCAACTCTCATATTGACCCCCTCGTTTTTCTCTTGATCGAATTGTTTGATTGCTTGGATCATACTGAGCCCCATTTCGACGCAACATTTCGCGTGGTCATATCTCGGCTCCGGACATCCGGACACGCAGTAGTAGCAATCGCCCAATGTTGATATTTTCTCGCAATTGTGGAATTTGCACAAGTGGTCGAATCGTTGAAATAAATTGTTTAGGATTTCCACCAGTTCTTCGGCGCTTTTCTTGCTGGCCATTTTGGTGAAACCGACGATGTCGGCAAAGAGGATGCTCACATTTTCCATGCGATTCATATTGAAGGGGCGGAAAAGCGATCGAATGTCGTTGGTTTCGGGGTCGGAGTTGCGTTGGTCGCTTCGCGTGAAGGTTTCCTCTTCGGAGAGGAGCCATTCGGCCACGCTGGAAGGCATCAAGGAGTGGATCATGTTTTCTTTGAGTTTCTTCTCCGACTCCAATTGGCGGCGGACGAGGAGACTTTGCCCCACTTTCATAAAAGTGTTTCGCATGCGGACATTTGTCATAAGGAGGATGTGGAGGCCGATCACGTGAATGCAAAAGTGTGACAATAACCGAACTGAGATCGTTGAAACTTCAAGTGATTGATTTTGAAGCGAAATCGTCAGAGTTTCAAACGCCGCTGAGTATAAAAAACCAATTGTGATACTCATGTAGAGCTTCAAAGGGATTAGAGTGTAAATCAGCATGAGAATTTCAATACAAATGGAGAAGTGTCCCACTGGACTTATGTCTGAAGTTAGCGGGAAACTGAGCGGATCTGTCTTCATTGGTACCAACACGACGAACGAAAGACTTATCACACATAAAACAAACGCCACTATCAGTGACATGAGGAGCATGTGGTTGTTGTAAATGTCAGTATAAGTAAGGAAAAGTACTGTTGTTACTGACAGTATCAACGTTCCTAGGACAGTACACAACGTGGGCCAATGATGTGTTTCCGATACCAACCCCGTGACGAGAAAATACACCAACCACGACGATGAAATTAGCAACATGTACCACAATGCGTACCTGTCAAAACTATCAATTTAAAATTGTCACCGTCATGGGGGCCTTATACCTGAATTTGAATCTACTATGCGGGTTTGAGCTCCTCCTGTACTGTTCCTCGAGAATTTCCGAGTCGAACGTGGGGTCCCACCATGACTTTTGCGCCGCCCGTTCAAACGGTATGGGGAAGAAGCGCCCCCAGCAGCCGTTCTCTTGCGACAAATGCGCGAGGTAGAGCTGCGTCTGCGGGTCGAGCGACAATTGGGCGTTCTCGTCGTCGGAGGGCTGCTCCGATTTGTAACTCACCGACGAGGGTCTCTTCTCCGTCATTGCGAAACCTCTAACACATTATCTCGGGGACTCTGTAACAAAGCGAAAGATAAGACCGGTCTGAGATGTTTACATTTCGTTACCATTCATATGTTGGAAAACGAACACCCTCGTCATGTTTACGGTCTAAATCAAACATTACCGCTGTGTGTCAACACCGATGTTTGGTTTGCGATTTTTGCGGATTCGCTACTAATTTTCATAATTGGGGGGATAAACACGGCCGGAGGAGCGACACGGGGGCTATCGTAAAAAATTCAAACATGTGTTTAGATTTAGAAAGTTGACAGGACAAGCAAATTGACAGTTCGACCCCCTCCCGATGACAGCGCAGGAGCGGACTGGGAGAAATGGGGACGTAATTTATGGGCTTCCGTGACGTCAGCGAGTCAACAAACGGACTAAAAGCAAACATGTTGCGAAATGCGGCGTCTAATGACTTCCGATTGTCATTTGGGTTGAATAACGAGACCAAAAATGGAAATTCCAGGACCGGAGCGGGCTTGTTTAATGACACGGGAGGGCGCTATTTTTCAGTTTTTGATTCACTTACCGTTTGGAGATTTTCAACACAATAAACCCGCCGCTTTCCGTTTATGTAATGCGAGGTTTAGAAGGACACAACGCGTCATGATTATATGAATTACCCGATTTCAGAGACGAGAGTTCCGGTAGCGATATTTTTGCATCGGCTGTTTACAGTTTTACGGCTATTACATGATGAGATTGATCAATTTACTTACAAAGTAAACAGCCTGATGTAAACATGCACATATAAAATTCCCATCAGTCTAAAAGGATCACGAAATAACTGAAAAATCCAGTGAATTATTTATGGTAATTCCAATAAGGGGCGATAAGATAAAACCAATAAAAGGTACTTGCTACTGGTACTTGACTCGAGTGTTTAATTGGCGGAACTCATCATCCCCCAATCAAAAAACAAATCATTCTATAAACTGTTTTATTGCTCAAGCACACTAAATGCGTATATTACAAATTTTACAAAAACATGTACAACCATTTAAACCTTATCTAAAATATTTTAGGCACATTGTCGACTATATGTCGTTAACCCGGGGTGTACTCCTCCCCCATAACCAATTCAGCAATACTTTCGACGGACTTTGGACATCACGAGCTGAAACCAACCAATCACACAACAGTACCACAACCCAAACAGACTCACATAGCGTGTAACTAGCGTCGACCAATCGGGCGGCCGCTTCGGGCGGTAGTCTCGACGCGACATCTCTGTGTTGTTGCATGATCGACAGCTGTTGCAATCGACGCGACTCTTGCTCATCGACAATCGTCTTGTCTTTCTTATACCCGACTGTCTTCAATTCCGACAACCTTGAAACCCAAACTTAACAAAAAAAAAACACATGAAAATCACAGCATACTTAGTCGTGAGAGGCTCGACTTCGACCGGTTTCGACTCCGAACTCCCAGCCTCAACTCCCACTTTCCTCCCCAACTCCTCCTTCTCGCGTAAAACATTCGACAATCGCAACTGTAACGTATCACGTTCTTCTAGCAGTTGTGTCAATTCGACTGTTAACTCCTCACATCGGACGTCTCTTTGGTGCAGCATATAGAGTGCCAAGTCGAGTTCGGCTCGGCTTACTGGCTCGGTTAAATCTTCGGTTTCTTCACTTTTCGGTCGCGGTGACTCACTCTCTTTGGCACTGGTGCGACTTATGTCCATTTCGGCAATCAGCGAATCATAATCGTTGCTTTTCTCGTATAATTCCTTCTTCAACTCTTCAATTTTCAACACTTGTTCCTCTATAATACCCCTGAGTTCAGTCAATTGTTTATTTTCTTCGTCCACAAGAACGGTCTGTTCCTCAATTTTACGTTGCAAACTTTCGCATTCCTCAATTTTAGAATTCAGTTGAGACGTCAACTCCTCAATTTCTTTAGTTTTTGAGATGACAAGTTCAGTTTGAGTCCTCAATTCGAATTGAACACCCTCCAAATCCTGACGCAATTCCTCATTTTCGAGTAAACGTCGCTTCAATGACTCAATTTCTTGAACTTGCTCATTGATAGTCACTCTATACTCAACGGCATAATCACACTCTCTTTGCTTTTCTTCAATCAACCTCCTCAAATTTTCAAGTTCACGATCCTTGGCCTCAATTTGTGCCACTTGGGCTTGCATTTGCGCACTAATATTACTGTTAATTTGTTGATAGTCGTGAAGATTCTGTTGTAGGTTTTGCACGTTTTCATTTTCGTAATCTTTCAATGTTTGCATTTCGTTGACTTGAGTCGTAAGACGCGCAATTGTTTGTTCCTGCTCCTCCAAGATCATCCTCAATCGTTGAATTTCCTCTATACTTGTAGCCTTCTCCTCCTCAACCTCCCCAAACCTAGTTTTAATCTCCTCCAATTCCCCTCGCAATGCAATTATAATATTTTCACGATCTTTCAAAACTTTCACCAAGGAGTGATCTCGGTTGATACTCCCATCGTAAAACTCTTGTGCTAGTCTCAAAACCCCATCAACAATCTCTTTATCAACCTCCAAGCTTTGTTTCGTCGTCTCCAACTCCATTTGGATCCCCTCCACCTCCCGTTGTTTCTCTTGGAGGCTCCTTGTCAACTCATTTATGTACTGTTGTCGATCGCTAATCTGTTGTTGCAAAGCCGCAACTCGATCTACTTCATTTCGTATCTCCGCATCGACATTTTTCCTCAATTCGTTATTCTCATTCACCAATGCATTACACTTCTCTTCTAATTCGTTAATTTCCTTCCTCAAAAGTTGCTCGATTTGGGCAAATTCACTCTCACGCGACTCTAAATGAAGTTTCCAACTCTCAGCAACGTCGTTTCCTCTCTGATCAATCCTCAAATCCCACTCTTGGGTCATTTGTTCCATCGCAACTGTCAATCTTACCACCTCATTTTCCTTCTCCTTGAGCGTTTCACTCAAAACTCCTTTTTCCTCAAGCAAATTTTGAGCGATTTTAATCTGATTGTCGAGTTCCTCCTTCAAAGAAGCGATTTGTGAATCGACACTCTCGCGAAGTGTGTTTATTTCAACATTCTTCTCTTGCAACTCATTGAAAAGGACCTGTTTTTCGGATTCGAGTGTTTTCAAAGTGGCAATTTCAGCGATTTTTTCTTGTAATTCACTCATGAGTTTTTCACGGTCGTCTTGTGCGACGTTTTGAGCGTCAAATGACGTCTTCAATGCCTCAATTTGGGAATTCTTCTCTTGTAATTCGGCTGCGAGGACAGAAATTTCCTCTTCAACACCTCTCAAAGTCTCATTTAATTTTATAATTGTTTCCTCTTTACTCGACACGAGTTCATCTAATTCGGCCTTTTGTTGCTCAATTATTTCAAATTTCTCGCTCAATTCGTCGTTTTTCTTAATTAATTCGTTTATTTGTTCTTGCAACTCTTTTTTATCTTTTTCGAGTTGCTCCTTCTCAACTTGCAACGCTTCTGAATTGACCGAAAGCGTTGTTTTTTCAGCCTCGATTCTCAACTGTCTTTGCTCCTCTAAAACTGCTTGTAGTTCTTCATTATCCAAAGTCAAATCTTTGATTGTCTCATTCAATTCTTGGATTTTCTTCGCTAAATCTTCATTGTTGTTAGTTGACGACACAACGGTTGATTTCTCTTCATTGGTTGTAAAACCATCATCACCCCACTCAAACCGTTCCAATTTGGCACTCAAGTCTCTATATTGCTGTTGCCAACCTAACAACTCGATATCTTGCTTTTCTTTTGCTTCAAGTAGACGTTCATTTGTTGTTGTAAGCGACTCGATTTTTTTCGCAATCGCAATTTTCTCATTTTTTTCCTTCTCCAATTCATTTATTGTCTCTTTCAACCTCTTCTCGACTTGCTCTATTTGCAACTTCAACTCCTCCTGAATCGTATCATCCAAATTGAAGAAATCCGGTTTCTTTTTCGTCAATTCTTCATTCTTCGCTTTAAATTCCTTCAATTTTTTTATAAGTTTACCGGATTTGACTTGCAATTGTCGTATCTCCTCTAAATGATTCTCACGTTCCAATTCAAGAACTCGAATTCTGTCATTGAGACTTTCGAAATTTTCCGATTTCTGAACGTGTTCTTCTTCCTCCAACTTGGCTTCCTCGGGACCCCAAGCCCAACCGTCGTCATTCTCGATATTTCTATTTTCGGATTTGATTTCGTCGTAACACAAGTAGGCCTCCTTCGTCTGGATTGGCTCCTCGACTACAGGACCGGCTTCGAATGTCGAAACCAAGGGGGTTTTAACGGGCTCGAATTCAATTTTTTCCAATTGTTTGCACGTATCAGGGGTATCTCGAATGTCACTCTCTTGCAGGATTTGTGACTCGATCGGTATTTGTTTGTACACTAATCGTGTCAATTCATTTGTTAATTGGTCACATTGATGCAAAGTGTCTTCTTTCTCTTTCTCAGTGTTATACAACATGAATTCCAGAGTTTTTATTTTTTCCAGTAGTTCCTGATTAGTGTTTCCGGTTTTTTCTTCTTTTTTTTCGACAAAATCAAACGGATCGTTAGTTTGACCGGACCAAACAAACGTCGGGATTGTCTCGACTTGTGCTTCATTTTTCTTCTCTGCAACGCTATCGAAGAACGAAGCTAAAGAAGAGCTTGGCTCTTTTTGGGTATTGTGACTCTCCAATTGGACTTCTCTATCAGTCAGGAGTTTCTCTAATTCGTCTTTTTTGATTGTCAGTTGTTTGATTCCTTCTTCGAAATTCTGAATTTCTGATTGTCTTCTCTCCAATTGGACTTCTTTATCAGTGAGGAGTTTCTGTAATTCCTCTTTTTCAACTGTCAATTGTTTAATTCGTTCTTCGTAATTGCGAATTTCTGATAATTTTGCCTCCAATTCGGCTTCTCTTTCCTCCAATAAGCCTTTTCCAACTGTTAATTGTTTAATTCGCTCTTCGTAATCCCGAATTTCTGATAGTTTTGCCTCCAATTGGGCTTCTCTTTCCTCCAATAAGCCTTTGAGTCGTCCCAACTCCCCCTTCTCGACTGTCAACAGTCCTATCCTCTCCTCGTACTCCCTGATTTCTGATTCGCTCTTCTCCAATTTTGTCTTATACTCAATTAACTCGTTATTAAAACCAAACTCTTTTTCAGCAATCATTTTCAACTCCTCGGCAAATTTCTCACACTTTATCATCAATTCGGTTCTCTCCTTGAAAACTTCATCAAACTGTGTCTGCCAATCAGCATTAACCTTATCAAAATCATTTTTACTCTCTTCCAACATTTCATTCATTTGCTTCAACTCATTCTCAAAATCAAGCAGTTGTTTCTTCAACTTTTCATTCTGAATTTCCAACTCCTCAACACCGTCTCTTTCCCGCTCCAACTCCTTAACTTTCTCCCCCAACTCCTCAATCCTCCTCTTTAATTTCTCCCTCTCTTCCTCCAACTCGCGATTCCGACCAGCCAACTCCTGATTCTCAGTCATCGCTTCTTCCAATTTTCGTTCGATAGCTTCATCATGTGCTGCCAGTGCTGCCAATCTGTTCTCCAAAAAATCCTCACTTCGGGTCATCTCCTCACAGGTCATTTCTTTCTCCTCCAATTGTGCGCCCAATTCGTTAGCTTTCCGCTCCAAACTCAATCTTCGTTCCTCCATGAAGGAGATGCCCTCCTCCAATTTGTTAACACGTTCTTTGGACTTGACCAATTCTGTTTCTTGTGTCTCTATAATCATCTCTAATTCTTGGATTTTTGTCCGAAGGGAGTTTTCCACACTGCCGAGATTCTCCCGAGTAAGGAGTAACTCCTGTTGGAGACTAACTTCATTTTTGACTTTCAAATCGGTGATTATGTTTTGTAATTCGACGTTTTTCTCCTCCAAAACTCGGATTTGTTCAGTTTTTTCACCAATTTGGTGTTGCAAATGTGTCACTTCGGCTTCTAATTCATGCAATTGTTGCAAAGACGTCGCAAGTTCGGTCTCGTGTCGAGTTTGAGTTTCTTTAAATTTGTCTTCAAGTTCTTGGTAGGCTTGCGTTTTCTTTTTCAGGTTAGCGGCGATTTTCTTCATTTTTTCGAGTTGGTCTTTGTTTTTCGTTGTTAGTTCTTGGATTTTGGATTCGAGTGGCGCTGTGATCGCTTCAAAGTTACTCGAATTCTCGTTCAATTGTTTCTGGAGATTTAAGTACTTGTTTTTGAAATCAGAAGTTATGTGTTGGAAGTTTTCTTCTTTCTCTTTAATGGTTTTGTGCAAGTCGGCAATGACACTCTCTGTATTTTCCTTCTCTTTCATTAATTTGATTATTTCGTTGCCTTTGCTTTCGACTAGTTGGCGATTTTCCGATTCTGAATTTTTGACAATTTCGAGTTCTTCAATCAAGTCGGATTTGGTCTCCTCCAATTGGTCGATTTTCATTTGGAGGCTCTTATTATCATTCTCCAGGTCGGCAAGAGTCCGATTCAAGTCCATAATCGCATTATTAAGTCGGCGATTTTCTCTCTGCTGTTCCTCCAATTCAGTTTTCAAGTCTCCACTCACGCTTTCTTCCTGAATTTTCTCTATTTTGGCATCTAGCAATTCCTTTTCGCTCTGTAGTTGTTCATAAGTCTCTGCTAATACGTCTCTATTATTCTCAATCTCTTTAATCTTCAAATTCAAGTTCAAATTTTCTTGCTTCAACTGTTCCATCTTCTCCATTACTTCTCTTCTTTCAACAGTAAACAACTCGATTTTCTGAAGCAACTCAGAGGTTTCTTCAGTTAATTCGTTGACACTTTCATTTAAATCGACTTGTGGAAGATTTTCTTCACTGGCTTTTATATTACCAGCGACCAAATCTAAATTCTTCTGATAGGCTTCCAATTCGAGTTTTTCCTGTTGAGTCAGATTTTCCACAATTTCGATACTTTCAGCCGACGAGACTTTTTCCGCACTCAATTTTTCCAATTTATCGACCAATTCCATGTTTTCTTGTATGTAGTGTTCCAATTTTGACGTGACTTCTTGTTTTTCTTTTTTCAATTGTTCGAACGTCTCAATCAACTCTTCTTTCTCCTTACAAATCTTCTCGTTTTCTTCAATTAAATGCTTCTTTTCATTTTCGACTCTTTCTAGTTGCTCCTCGAACTGAATCGAGACCATTTCAGACTTCACTTGATTGTTTAATTTTTCGTTCAAATTCTCGATTTCGGTTTTCGATCGCGAAATTTCTAAAAAATGTTGTAATCGTCACTGACCAACAAATAAAAGTAACTTACCGGCTTCTAGAATCGATATAATTTTGTCTTTTTCCTCCAGCATTCGCTCGTGATCTTGGATTTTGTTTTCTAACTCATTTTCGCGTTCTGGACCCTCAGAACCTGAAATTGCATCGGTAACTCCCCCAAAATCGTGTTTTATTTTATTTTACCTTTGTTAGAATCGGATTCAACCAATTTCAACTGTAGACTTCCTTTTTCCTCCTCTAATTCGGCGATTTTTTGACCCAAACGGCTATTTTCCGCTTCGAGTTTGACAATTTCCGCATTAGCGTCGCTCATTTTTTTAAATGATTCGATTTTTTTCGTCAGTTCTTTCACTTTTGATTTGTGTTGCGCCTTGACTTTGATCATGTTTTTATTGGCTTCTTCCAATTGTTTGTTTAACATAGTTAATGCTTCGCTTTGTTGACTCTCTTCTAATTTATTTTCCAATTCCCTTATTTTGTTGTTTTTCTCGGTCAAAGTTTCCACTAAACGCGAATTTTCAGCCTTGAGGTCCAATTCTAAATCTTCGGCTTTCTCGCTTATTTGTTTTTCTAAATTAGCATTGGCCTCCTGTAATTCGGCGATTTCGTAGTTTTTGAGTCTTAAATCCTCGAGGAGTTTCATTTGGCGAGCCTTCATTTCTGCTTCCAAGGCCACAAAATCTTCCTGCATTTTCCTCATCTGCTCCTTGGTCTCGTCTAGGGCGTCAAGAGTAGTTTTTCCTTTCCTGCTCAAATTTTCCGTCATCAAGGTTATGGCTTTGGTTCTGGCGTCAATCACCGAATCTTTCTCCTTGAGATTTTCCTGCAAGTCAAGGACGCTAGTTTCCAGTTTCTGCACCTTGGTTAAAAGCTCGCTAATGCGTTTTTCCTTAGTCAGTAAAACAGAATACAATTCTTGGGCACTGGAATTCTCACTGTAGTCAATTTTCGGGTCTTGTAGCGTTAAATTAAGGGGCGATTGGCTGATCAAATGTTGCGAATCGTCCAACTGTGCCTTGAGTTGCGTCACCATTTCCTCAATCCCTTTCTGGCTTTTCCCCCTTTCGGCAAGTCTCACTTTATTTTGCTCCACTTGTTGTCTCAGAAGACTGATTTTTTGGCTAGCGGGAATGTCTAGTGTTTTCTTAGCGCTGTTGTCGTCCTTTTTCGATTTTTTCGAGCGGTGTTTTGAGAGAGTGTTCATGTACTCATCGACTTTTTCCTGAGTTACGTTAGTTTGCTCATTTTTCCGAATCATTTCTTTGAGTTGTGCTATCAGGACTTGTTGTTGCTCAAATTGGTCTTTGAGATCCGATAGTTCCTGACTGGAGCCCCCCGGATCGGGGCCCCCGCCTGGATCCTGACCAGACATGCTTGCTACCTTAAATGAAACCCCAGATCAACGCCAGGCACACCAAGGGGGTAAAATACCTTATTTTCGCTACAATATGCTAACTGGAAGAAAAAGTGGTGTTTATTTGCTGACACTTGACATTACACGTCACGTCGATGCCAACCTTAAAATTTAAAAATCACTAATTTGGGCGAAAAGAGGGCGATTTTTGTTAAGCCCTTTGTGACTTGGCCCTGATTTTCCCCGAATTTACTTAATTATAGTCCTGGGAGGCTCCAAACTGGTTAAAATGCCGAAATTGGCTCACTTTTTGACAACACACGTGACATAACCTCCAAATCAAAACAATCGGCTTATCGCTTTAAATTGCTAATTGTTATCAGTACTTCACATGCCATGCCGAAGAAATGTCCGAATCTAAGAGCGACAATCATGTCAAAGACGGACTCATCGATTTTACAGCCGGGTTTTTGGGTAATTAGCAATTTTTGTTGATTTTTTCCAAGACCTGTTTTTAGGGGGCATTGCGTTGGTGTATGTGGGCCAGCCCCTGGACACCGTCAAGGTAAAAATGCAGACGTTTCCGAGCTTATACAACAACATGATTGATTGTTTCATGAAAACGTTACGCGCAGATGGAATTTATCGCGGTTTGTATGCCGGTACAGTCCCGGCTTTGGCGGCGAATATCACCGAAAATTCGGTCTTGTTTCTTTGTTACGGCTTTTGCCAGAAATTCATTCAAAAAGTCAGTCGTACGGAACACGTGGCTGAACTCAGCATGATGCAGAACGCCACGGCGGGTTTTTTGGCCTCATTTTTCTCATCGGTGGCGATTTGTCCCACCGAACTTCTCAAATGCAAGCTTCAAGCCATGTTCGAGACGCAGAAACAGCAGGAGTTGCAAGGTTTGAAGGTGGTCAGAGTGGGGCCTATGAAGTTAGCAGCGCAGATATTGAAGGCCGAGGGGCCCTTGGGGTTCTTTCATGGGCTAGTCCCGACGTTAGTTAGGGAAATGCCGGGATATTTCTTCTTTTTTGGGACTTATGAAGGTATAAAAACCCATTAGAGGGAATTGTTGGTTGATTGTTTAATTTAGGCACTAGGACTTTGTTGGCACGCCCGGGGGAATCCAAGGACGATATAGGCTTGTTTAAAACAATGGTAGCGGGGGCTTTAGGGGGCATGTCTTTCTGGACGTTGACTTATCCGGTTGATGTGGCCAAAAGCCGAATACAAGTCACAGATAGTAAGGTGAATATGGTTTCAATGATTGCACAGATTTGGAGGCGCGAAGGCTTTAGACAACTTTATAATGGGCTAACTCCTACTTTAGTTCGGACTATACCATCCACTGCCACTCTTTTTGTCACTTACGAGTATTCCAAACGATTCCTCCACCAGATTTTCTAATTAGAAACAAAACTCGAAAATAGTTTTTATACTTTATTTTTTCCAATAAATAAATAAATAGGAATACTGGGTAATACTGTCAGTGCCTGTCTTTGATTGTTTTCCCTCACTTTAGATAATTGCTATTGTCGGGATCATATTCAGGGGACGATTCTATTGTTTTTTTCAGTAGTTCCCCTAAAAGACTGGGATTGAAGATCGAAGCGAAATCACGTGGTCGGTCAATCCCCGAAAAATCGGAATCCAGTGTTGGCACCCTAAAAAATCAAATTTTTATTGCACTCATTTATTTTGATATGACTACCTGTACTCGTCACTGATTCGGCTTAAAATGTCTCGTTTTTGTTGACCTCGACACACGGGGGAAAAAATGTGTGTCCTGTAATAATCAAATTGAGTAATTATAATTTTTTCATTGTTGATTAGATACCTGCAATGATTTTTTTTCAGCAAATTGGGGTTTTTGACCAAAGCCCCAGACGTAACTTCAATTGATAAGAAAATAACGCTGACGAATAACAACAAAGCGATTCGGTGGTCCGTAATGGACTTTTTCATTGTTGCGGAACCCTGAAATCAGATAACGATTTGTTTGTGAAGCGGAATTGTTTTGCACTAAAACACTTGAAGAGTCAAGTGTGATAAGAATTGGAAGTTTTCATGTAATAAAGATTTTTTCAAGAGTTGCGTCAGATTGTTAAAATTTGTTGTTTTTATGCAATAATATTATCGCAATCGATGAGAAAAACAAAAAAGACGACTCACCATTACTTGGCTTGGAGACAGGAGGTGAGGACGGGCAGTCTGATACTCAAATTCTTGTTCTTGGTGCCACCTCTTTTAAATCTCGAGCGGGGTCTTGCGCAATCAAACTTTGCAATTTTTGCGCTCAATTAAACATTACAGCTTTTCACATAATTACGTTATTTGAATATTCCGACGCCTGATTTTAATAAAATTTTGCCGCGTCATTGCTCATTTATTCCGATAAGTCGCATTCGGGTGTTTGTTTATAACAATTAGTTTGAATTTGGCGCTAGTGGCCCAGCGCTTGCGCAGTATTCCTGTCATTGCCGGGAAAATCGACAAAAACATAATTACGTTATTTGACAAATAATCCGTGTCTGCTTATTTATTCCAAAAAATCGCTTTTAGGTGTTTGTTTATAACAATTAGTTTGAGTTTGGCGCTATTGTTTAGCGCTTGCGCAGTACACTTGTCATCCGCCATTATTGCCGTCTACTGTCATAAATCTGTCATTGATTATTGAAGAAAAGTCGTGAAAATTGTGGAAAATGCCGAACATAAAACTGCGTTCGTCTGACGGGGAAACGTTCGAGGTGGATGTGGAAATTGCGAAATGTTCGGTGACCATCAAAACCATGTTGGAAGACTTGGGGATGGACGAGGAGGAAGAGGAAGTTGTGCCTCTTCCGAATGTGAATTCGGCGATTTTGAAGAAAGTTATCCAGTGGTCGACTTACCACAAAGATGATCCTCCACCGCCCGAAGACGACGAGAACAAGGAGAAGCGAACTGACGATATTTCGTCGTGGGACGCCGATTTTCTCAAAGTGGATCAAGGCACTTTGTTTGAACTCATTTTGGCGGCGAATTACTTGGATATCAAGGGGCTGCTGGACGTCACCTGCAAGACGGTGGCTAACATGATCAAGGGCAAAGCCCCGGAAGAGATCCGCAAGACTTTCAACATCAAAAACGATTTTACAGCTTCTGAGGAGGAGCAAGTGCGCAAGGAGAACGAGTGGTGTGAGGAGAAGTAAAGTTTTGTTTATTTAATTTAGTTTCAAAATTGCTTTCATAATCTCGTGTAAATTTGGTTTTAATGTAATACTCTGATTTTTTAATTTAAATCAAACGCCATTTCGACCCAACTGGTTGTTTATTTGCACCTTAACCAATTGTAGAGTATTTCTAATAGGTGTCGGATAAAATATAGTGTAAAACTGTTAAAATACGCCATAGTCGTCGCAAGATCCTGCTTCGTTTCCGCAAATACGGGCCCCCATAAAAGCCCCTATTAAAATTGCTACAAGAACTATAGTTACAAGCCCTAACAAGTACAGCCACGTCCTGGAGGAACACAAGGACCAACACCTACAATTCGGACTGAATTTGGAAGTTTAGCAAATCGCAACTAACCCTCGTTTTATACACTGTTCATTTCTCTTGATTTCATCGTCGACGAAATTTTCCGACTTTGATAGTTGATCATTCATTAATTTTATAATTTTGCATTTGATGTGTTTGAGTTTCTGTTTTGTTGCCAAAGTATCACAATCACAATCAACATCGCGGCTCATTAAATCGAACTGGAATTGTATTAGGATTAAGAAAATTCAATTTGTGATGTGCAGATTGAAAATTATGACGTTAAGGTGACATTTTGGGCAGTCAACTTCAATGCTATTGTCACATAGGGACCCTCACTGACCTGGTTTCCCACAAATTCTATTTATTTGTCAGTGTTACACCAGCTATAACCGAATTTTGAATAAATTGTTTTTTTTATACAAAATAGTTGAGTTTCATTTTTCATTCATCCTAAAATCAACCAATGCACTAATTTTATAGAAAATATTGTTTGCGGGTCGGTATACAGGGCGTCTCAAGACTATCAGGCGGTAATAACTGATTTGGATTTTTTTTATATTACAATCAAGTGAAATACTCTAATCAGGACAGTCCCGCTTTTATTACATTTACATTATTTTAATATTTATCTATTTTTTATTTTAATATTTTAGCCATACCAGATGGAAAAGTTACACTTGTTCAGGGACCTTGAAGGGCGCTAGAGGCTATCTGCAATTTTTTTCATTCTGTATTTATGAAACTAGCAGCGTTTGAGATTCTTTTATACCTCTCTCTAACACCCTTTCAGAAATGTATAAAACAATCGAACTCACTTTTAGAGGGGAGGCAAGTGGAAGGGAATTTGATTAAACAAATTTAAGATACGCAATGTAAAAAGCGTATCAAAATATATAATTAGACAACAACTGAATGATTCAACTAGTTCATAATCTGTGAAAGAATAATGATTAGTCTGAAAAACAAGAGGTTYAATCTTTAGCGTCACCGATTCCATCAGGATGAATGGCAAACACTGCTTCAGATTCAGGCAAACAAGGCGAATCGTATATTTTACACACTCTTGTCTCTCCTCGACCTTTCCTCAAGGATAGTCTTGTAGTAGAAGCATGTGCCATAATGTTGCCACCGATCGGTTTCTTGGGATCGGGGTTAAACATCGCAGCTCCGTCAACTTGAGCAACCACTTGATTCGTTATTACGACAGCAACTCCAAACTGAAACAAAATTTGAAAAGCGTAAATAATTGGGTATCTGACACTAAACTCACAGCTCTACATGAATTTATTAAGTACTGTAAAATACATTTATTTTAATCAAAACCATTTTCTTTACATTCAATTATTTTCTGGGGTAAATGAGTCACAAATGGAGACAAGAAACTCCACTATTAAAAAAATGTTATAAAAAGTAACAATGTTATAGATTTGAAACAGAATAAAATTGTTATTGTAAAAAACAGCTCAGCCAAAGACAAAAAGGTTTTCTTATTTTTATTTTTCATCAACAACAGGCAATTGTAATAATCTCAGTCATAATTGAAAATATTAAAAAGCTGCGATTTCATAAAAGTGGTACAACTGGTGTTCGTCAAGAGTGATAATTACCTCATCAGCAAGTCGCAGCAACATCCTCAAAAACCTAGCTAGATGATTCTGCCTTGCGGACAATTCCCCTCTTCCCGAATAATCCGTTCTGTACAAAGATGTGGCRCTATCAACCACCAGCAGAGAGTACGTTGACTCCATCATCATCGCAGCCGCATGTATCAAAAGCTCAGTTTGGTGGTCAGTATTTTGCGCTCTTGCAAATGAGACATTATCCAAAACTTTTTGTGTGTCCATTTTGTACCTCTCCGCCACCGGCACCAATCGTTCAGGCCGGAAAGTGCCCTCGGTGTCAATAAAAAGACACTTTCCTTCACCACCCCCACAGTCAACGGGCAATTGACAAGTCACAGCCAAAGTGTGGCAWATCTGGCTTTTGCCGGTTCGGAATTCGCCGAAAATTTCCGTKATTGAACYGGTCTCAATGCCGCCCCCTAGCAACTTGTCGAGTTCCTTTGACCCGGTGGTCAGTTGGACAATATCGGAGCGTCTTTTTAAAATATCGGTGGCTGTGGTGAAACCCATGTTGACGAATTTCGCTACTTCGGCGAGGAGTTTGTCGATCTTGGCCTCGGACATGCCTTTGATGGCCACGAGAGTCTTCTTCGGGGTGTATGCTAAGGACTCGATACTGTGAAAACCGGCATCTTTGAGCTTTTTTAAGTCAGCAGCGGTGATCCCGTTGCCCTAGAATGAGGTTAGAATTGAGTCGTTAGGGGGGCTCTTCCTTACCTCAAGTTTGGAGAGGCGTTGGGGGCCGACGTCCTCGGTTTCGTTCGAGAGTACTGTGCTGGTTGACGCTAAACTCGCATCATCCATTTTCGTAATTATTTTGTTGATATTAAAATACAAAGGAAGTTCTTTGATTTATCTCGGCACTAGTAGGAGTAGTAGGCTCTGGTTTGGTTAGAAATTCAAACAAAAACAAAAGCATTGCCAATCTCAAACCAGTCAAAGTAAAAAACCCTAAACAAAATTAAATTATCCTGGCAACTCAACTAAAGTCAACTTTTTGCATCTTTTATTGTAATTAAGAGAGTACTCAAAAAAAAAACAAAAACCCAAATATTCTAAATTACAAAACAGATTTTTGGGAGTGGTTAAATGTAAATTCGATAGTGGATCATTCTTTATTAATGCAATAGGCATAAAAACGTGTACAATACTGCTAAAACAAGTTGGAAATCTCGTAACAATATCAAAAAATGTTTGATTTCCCCCAGATTGGAATGTTCAACTAGAAACTACTTAAGAATAAATAAATGAAAGTTACACAAGCAATTAGCATAAGGTAATTACAAAAATACATTTCATTTAATTATGTTTTTTAAATAAATCCTGAGCTTCTTTAAATACATACACAAGCGGACCAAGTCCGATTTTGAACTATCAATAAATACTGATTTTCGTGGGGTTATAACACAACATTTAGTGTTTCTTTTCGGAACAAATGGGTCGTGAATTGACAATTCCAAGACACTGAAAACACTTAATTTGATTGTATTGTGTATCGTTTGACGATCTACTCTCCCTAAGAGTACGAATAGTTTAAGGCAAAATATAAGGCCGCACTAAAGTATATTCGAATAAAAAAAAGAGAAAACTATACTTAATAATAAAAATCATCTATGATTATAAAATCTTAAAAAATAACATTTCGTTTAAAAACGGACTAGAATTACCTTAACAACGGAACTTTTTTTTCCAGTGTATATAAAACCTTAAGTACAATTAGCCGTAAGCTCAAATTTTGTGAGGCACAATGAAATTCGATTATTCGCAGGCGAGTTTACTATCGAAACTGCTCAACGCGATAGCAAACGCCTGCAGAGCACACATGGGGTACCGGTAATCCATGGTGAAGACATCCTCCGCCACCCTCCCAAACTGCATCACGACATACTCCGGAAAGACTCCGCACTGCGTGAAAGGTCCGTGGGGTCGCTTGATATCAGGTAATTGCTTGTGGCACTCTTTTTGCGTTTTCTGGCGGCTAGGAGGAACACTTTCTTGCCGTAATCGCGTCCTAGGTGAAGGTAGTAAGTGGGATACAGCCCAAAAAAGCGCCGATTTAGTCCCAAATGCTCGTCGCTTGTCCAAAATTTCCAAATGAAGACACTTCACTGTCACATCACAAGCCGAGCTCTCGGAGCGTTGCAAGTGTTACAAACTCGGAGAAGTAATAGAGTTTGCAGACGCAAGGCGGCCACTTACTAGGAGATTGTGCAGTGGGGGCTACCAAACTCTAGGAGTGAATCAAAGACACGATTGGGATGCACGGGATTTCGTAATTYYGGATTAATTAAAATTTGTTTGTTTTGGGTTTGACCCGGATCAAGGCAGGTTTGGGCGAGGGTAAACCCAAAAACGCGATTTTTCGGTTACTTMACTGGGAATTTCGGGAAATTRTGACGGTTATATAACAGTCTAGTTCCCAGACTCGCAATTGTTGTCTCGCTAATTGCTTGCAATTCAATTTTCGGGCACGTGTTCGGCCCGCATTGCGCAACTCGAAATTGACGTCCCAGTTTCCGATCAGGCCCCCTTGTATAAATAATTCATCGCCTCGTCATATGATAAAACGTTGTTTTTTTCAAACAAAATACTTAAGATGAAAGTCTAGCCACGGAATTGGGTTACTATATTACGGTTATTGCCTCGAGAAATGGCGATTRAGGAYTGAAAATGACTCGATCCTCAATCGACATGGAGAAGAGTGAAAAAGTTCCAAAAACGCCAATTTGACACGCCACTCGGCCAATTTCAACCGAAAATTGTTATATAATCTGGGTAATCCGAGCCATGCCAACCGGAAAAAGTACACTTGTTCAGGGACCTTGAAGGGAGATGGAGGCCATTTGCGACTTTTTTCGATTCTGTGATTTATGAAACTAGCAGCGTTTGGAATTCCGTTATATTGTGGAAAATAATTTTGAATCGGGTACATGCAAAAGTCACGGGTTATTCAATTTGCATAAGTTTTACTTTTTAACACCCTCTCAGAGAGGTATAAAATAATCGAACTCGCTTTAAAAGGGGAGGCAAGTTGAAGGGAATTTGATTAAACAAATTTAAGATACGCAATGTAAGAAACGTATCAAAATATATAATTAGACAACAACTGAATGATTCAACTAGTTCATAATCTGTGAAAGAATTAAAATAATGATTAGTCTAAAAAAACAAGAGGTTCAATCTTTAGCGTCACCGATTCCATCAGGATGAATGGCAAACACTGCTTCAGATTCAGGCAAACAAGGCGAATCGTATATT